TTAGAGCAGGAGGATGGGGGGCTGGGAGCCAGGACTCCCGGGTTCTCTCCCTGGCTCTGATGCGGGGTCCCGTCCAGGGAAGAACTGCCAGCTGATGGATTTCTGCCCCACCAACCCCTGCGCCAACGGGGGCACCTGCCTGCTCACCTACCCGCACATCGTGTGCCAGTGCCTGCCCGGCTTCGACGGCCACACCTGCCAGCACGACGTCAACGAGTGCTACCGGGACCCCGGGCCCTGCGCCAACGGGGGCACCTGTCTCAACAGCCTGGGCTCCTTCCGCTGCCTCTGCCCCCCTGGCTTCTCTGGCCCCCAGTGCCAGCACCGCGCCGGGCCCTGCTCCGCCGGGCTGTGTCTGCACGGCGGGACCTGCCGCCCCCTGCCCGGCGGCTTCCACGGCTGCCTGTGCCCGCCAGGTGGGGGCTGCGCCGCGGCAGGGGCGGGGGCTGGGGCTGGGCCGGGGGCGCCTTGCTGCACGTGGGGCCGACATTCAATATGGCCGCCGAGGTGACGTATCGTCCGCTGGTGCCCAATATGGCCGCCAGGCTCTGGCCCGTTCCTGTAGACTGGACCGTCCCAGTATGGCCGCCCCATCGATTTCTCATCCCCCGGACAGGGCCAATCCAATATGGCCGCCACATTGAGATGCCTTCCCCTAGACAGAACCAATCCAATATGGCCGCCCCATCGAGGCTGTGACGGTGCTGCCTGTGGGAGCCAGCTGAGGTCACTCAACCAGGGTGAACTGCAAACAGACCGGGGCAGACAAACCCCAAACGCTGGTGGATCCTCCAGTGCTGAGATTTACCAACCAGCCCAAAACAGCTTCTATAGAACCTCCCTGGTTACTCAGACGTCCAAACAACGCAGTTCCCTTAAAGTGCCCGGCCTCAGGCCTCCGTCCAGACACACCTGTCAGATACGATGATGATTACTGAGAATCTGATCTCATCAGATACAAGAAAAGGTTCTTCCAACCCCAAAGGATCAGCCACATACCCAGGTCCAATGATAACTCAGATCTTACCCAAAATACACGTTATAGCCAATTCTTATTAACTAAACTAAAATTTATTAAAAAAGAAAAGCGAGAGAGTGTTGGTTAAAAGATCAATCTACAGACAGACTTGAATTCAATTCTTGAGGTTCAGACACAGCAGAGATGAGCCTGTAGTGGCCAAAAGTCCTTTTAGAAATAGTCCAGAGGTTATAGTCCAATGTCCATATTCAGGGTGACTCCAGTCAGTGACTGGGGATCTCAATCCTTGTGGCTTAAGGTTTCCCCCTCTTGAAACCCAAAGCAGATCTGAGATGAAGCAGGATCGTGTCCCAGGGTTTTTATACATTTCCAGCAGCCTTTCGGCCTGAGAAAACAATAGACTTAATTCTCCTTCTCCCAAACATCCTGGCAATTAGCACAGGGTCATTTATCCATGAAACAGTTCAGATCCAGGTCACCACAACCTTCAAAGAGACATACAGACAATGACACGATTTCCCACCAGTGTCTCCCTAAATGTTAATATCCCTGTTTTGGTCTTTGAATCGAAGCCCTAGCAATACACAAGACTTTGCTGACCCCCCAAGCCCTGAGCACACAGCTCCCGTCTCCCTAACGATGTGGCTGCATTTCCCAGCTCTGCTCGTTCCCAGATCTTCCTAACGAGTCTCTGAAGTTGGGCCCTGGGGCAGGTGGGTGTCGGCGGGAACTGACTCTCTCTGGCCAGGCCCTGTCAGTGAGAGAAGAGATCACGCTCAGAACGGCCCAGAGGCACCTTCCCCTAGACAGACCAATCCAATATGGCCGCCATGTTCTTGGTTCCTCCCACCAGCTGTTATGTTCAACGGGGCCGTTATGGGACGGGGCTAATTAGAACCAGACCCGTTCCCGGGGGTGACTGGGAATGGGGGGGACTTGGTGTGGGGGGGGTCATCAGGCACCGCCGGAGGCCAGTCTCCAAGATAGCCAACCTCCCCAGCCCCTCCGCCCTGGAACCATGGCTCCCAACATGGCCGCCCGCTGTGGAGGGGAGCGACTGCGGCTGAACTTACCCCCCCCCCGGGGGCGTCTCTCTCTGTCCCCCCCCAGGGTACACGGGGGCAGCTGTGTGAGGTGAACCCCGACGACTGCGTGGAGCACCACTGCCGGAATGGGGGGGCTTGCCAGGACGGGGTGGGGACATACTCCTGTCTCTGCCCCCCCGGCTGGACGGGTGAGTAGGACACCCCCCCATCTCTTACTAGGGACAGGACCCAGGCGTCCTGGCTCCCA